TTCTGCCACCTGCCTTAGAGCAATTGACTATCAATCACGGATACTGCATGCAGCATTTAGAAAGTTGATTTCTAAAACCCATGCAATCAAGAAGCTCTTTGAGGGTCTTGGGCTTCATCTCCTCAGCGTCTTCTTTGTCCTTGTCCTTCTTCGTCTTTGTCGCTCGCTTCTGAATCGCTCCCGGTTCGTCGAACAGCGTCAAGAGGGATTTCTCACCAGCCTCGGTGGCTGCGTGCACAGCAGGCAGAGTGCCTGCCTGAAGCAAATTGTTCTCTTCGAGAATCTTGGCCAAATCATCATCCATTTTTTGCTCCGCCAGGAGCATCTGCGATTCGCTTGTGGCATTGTCAAGCCGCAATAGGTGGCCCTTCGGCATGTAATACCACGCTTCCTCAGAAAACCCATTCACATGCAGCAAGAACATAAACCATGCAGCGAATATGCCACACTGACCGCAACCTAGACACATCCTCGTTGTCGGGGAAGTCTTTGGTCTTTGTACCAGCGTCCTTCGGCTTTTCTTGTGGCGATTACTTGCTTGTACATGGCCTGGCAAAAGACACACGACATGTAAACAAGCATGCACACAGACCGAAGGGGCCTCGTCGGCATATTTTGCCTTCAAGTCTTTGCCCTGGACGGCAACAACATCCTGCCGGTTGAGATTCTTCCTTTCATGTTTTCGTTCCATGCATAGCTTTACCCTGAGTGGCGACGCGACGCACGTAACAAATGACATCATGGTATCGGACAACAGCAAGAAGGCAAAAAGTGCAAACACACAAACGTGCCATAGCTTCAGCCACGTAGCTCGTCCCAATTGCCGTTGCAATCGAGCCAGGCACCAAACAAATCCGTCTTGGATTTGCTCGCGTAGGAACTCAGGTTGACCGGGAACTTCTGGCGATTCTTGATCGCCCGATCAAAGACGGCCCATTCCTTCTTATGCGTCGTACCTTAGAAGCACAATTCTTAAAACATACTAAACATATTCCAAAGGTTGCAAGTCGCACATGACCCCAACCGAAATTTCATCTAGGGAGCTGTTCCGCACTGCAGCAGCCGCGTCATTCTCCGTCGCCGCCTTCAAGGAATTTGGGTCGGGGGCCGGTTCTTCATATTCAGACGGCTCCTGGTCGCCGTTCTCAGACTCAGCCTCAGATGAGGTACCACTTGGCATGTCTGCTTCATCCAGGTTGCACTCTTGCGACTGGAGGATTTCCTCCTCGGCATCATCGTCATTCGGAGATGCCTCCGGCTCCTCTGCCTCCTCCGATTCCTGTCCATTTTCCTCCTGTCCATCTTCCTCCTGTTCATCTTCCTCCTGCTGTTCATCTTCATCACCATCATCGTCGTCACTGGCCTGCTCGGAACCCTCTGAGGCTTCTGAAGCCATTGGGGAGCATGCAGCAAGCTCCTCCGCTGCTATCTGTGCCTCGATGAGGGCCACTTGATCAAAATCATTCTCGGACTCTTCATCCTAGACACACAACGAAGGGTTCAAAATCATTATATGCACCATAACAATATATGCCATGCTCTGCAGAACTTCTGAACAGCAAAGGAAACTGCACCCACCTCCTCGGACCCACAGGCTTTCTTGTCACGGCTTCCACACTTCTTGTCTTTGGCCTTGTTTTTGGCTTCCTTCTTGTCTTCGGCTTCCTTCTTGTCTTTGGCTTCCTTTGTGTCTTTGGCTTCCTTCTTGTCTTTGGCTTCCTTTGTGTCTTTGGCTTCCTTCTTGTCTTTGGCTTCCTTCTTGTCTTTGGCTTCTTTCTGGTCTTTGGCTTCCTTCTTGTCTTTGGCTTCTTTCTGGTCTTTGGCTTCTTTCTTGTCTTTGGCTTCTTTCTTGTCTTGGCTGTCCTTCTTCTCTTTGCTTTCCTTCTTCTCTTGGCTTTCCTTGTTATCATCCTGGGTCTTCTGGCCTGGGCCTCCCTTCATGATTCGCTGTTGCTTCGGGTCTTTGGGGTCCTTGGGTTTGGCCGTTTCAGTTCCCTTCGACTTTGCTGGCGCGGTGTCTTGCTTGTCGTCTTTGGCTTCCTTCTTGTCTTTGGCCTCTTTCTTGTCTTGGGCCTCTTTCTTGTTTTGGGCTTCTTTCTTGTCTTTGCTTTCCTTCTTCTCTTTGGTCTTCTCTTGGCTCTCCTTCTTCTCTTTGTTCTCTTTGGTTTCCTTCTGGTCTTTCGTCTTCGGCTTGTTCTTATTCTCCACAGAAGACGCCGCCGCCTTCAGCAACTTTTCCTGCTCAGCCACCTCTTGGTCGGATGGCTCTTTCCTCTTTTGCTTCTTCTCTGGCTTTGAGCTTTTCTGGCTCCCAGAACCAGTAGAAACCCGAGCTTTTTTGGCCGGCTCGCTTGATGCATCTCTCGATTGCTGCCGCTTCGTGGAAACACGGTGGGTGACATCATTCTTTGTCATGGCTGCAGCACTGCAGCACACTTGAAAACAGTTGCAAGCCAAATGCTTCAGCACATGAGTGGTGTTTCAACACAGCATGAATGCATTGACACTGCATGCCCGCTCCCATAATCTCACTGCATCTCACTCGAATCTTTGCAGAAAGACAGACAGACAGACAGACAGACAGACAGACAGAAAGACAGACAGACCCAAACAGACAAAGGATGGCCGGCACATGATGCATGGATGTTATATATGCACAGACCATGCATGATACTCCTATATGATATACATATTCTACTTTCTCTCGGCAGTGGTTGCTACAAATCACGGTATCGGTTGCTACAAATCACGGCAGTGGTTGCTACAAATCACGGTATCGGTTGCTACAAATCACGGCAGCGGTTGCTACAAATCACGGTATCGGTTGCTACAAATCACGGCAGCAGTTGCTACAAATCACGGTATCGGTTGCTACAAATCACGGCAGCGGTTGCTACAAATCACGGCAGCAGTTGCTACAAATCACGGCAGCGGTTGGTACAAATCACGGCAGCGGTTGCTACAATCGCGGCTGGTTGCTATAATCACGGCAGCGGTTGCTACAAATCACGGCAGCAGTTTCTACAAATCACGGCAGCGGTTGCTAGTAATCACGGCAGCGGTTGCTACAATCGCGGCTGGTTGCTATAATCACGGCAGCGGTTGCTACAAATCACGGCAGCGGTCGGCACAAATCACGGCACCTAGCAGCTATGATGTTGGCCGAGCTGGGCTTAATGGTTCCAGTTGTGGTCGTTCGGGTTTCGTTCGGTGTGGTTTCAGGGTGCCAAATACAAATCACGGCATTCCACGCCAAATCACGGTAGCGGTCACGACAAATCACGGCATTGACTTGGCCGCTGTTGCAACCATTTTTGCTGGGTGTGTTTCGTTTTCCTTTGGTTTTTTTCCCTTGCCATCCCTC